AAAAGTTCATTAAAAGTGTTAAATTTTAGGAGCAACTGGGTGGCTCACTCGGTTAAGTGTCTGATTCTTGATTTTGGCTCAGGTCATGATCTCAGGATTGTGAGATCAAGCCCCACATTGGGCTCTGTGCTCAGTGGGGAGTCTGCTTAAGATTCTCTCTCTCTCTCTGTCCCCCCCCAAATAAATAAATAAATCTTTAAAAAATGTTAAAGTTTATTACTTTAGCAAAATATTAATTATATTTATATATTTCTTACACATTTGAAAATGTTCCAACAAGTCATTAAAGGTTGATGGGTTTTCCTGCAGTTAGGCACTCAAAAAAACATACTGATTAATTTTTTTTTAAAAAGCTAATATATCAAAGAACTGTTTAAAGAGCAGGAAGTGAACTAAATCTATGACCTTTCTGGCACAGGCTTTCCTCCCATCATCAGAGTTGTACATTTATGATAGTATATAAATAATAAATAATGGTGGGTGACAAACCTAGAGGGACTAAAAAGCAGGAGGTGAGGCATTCTACAGTACTGCTGTGCATTATCTTCAACACATTTGTTGCATTGTGGTTTTTTTGAGGACTAGGCTTCCAGAGTGTTGCTTGCTAATGGATACTAACTAGAAGGTGAGAAATCTCCCTGTCATTTACTGTGGTCAGAGAAGGAAAAGATATTTGTTAAATGGTTAGGCACACATCCAGTAGTCAACTGACTGCCTAATGCACAATTTATCGGAAGGAGTTGAACCTTCCCCAATGGACAGGACTTGGTTTCAAGCATGAGTTGATATGATTTGTTAAACCAAAAGATAGGTGGCAGGAGAGGGTATCCTGGAATGAGGAAAGAGCATGCCTTTAGATTCAGCAAAGATCTGTGTTTAAATACCAGTTTTGTTATTATATTTACTTTGGGAAAGGTAATAATTCCATGCTAGGTTTTTTTCATATATTTCTCCCTCATGTCTTACAAGAGTTAGTGGAGATAATGTCTCTAGAATGCTCACTTTTTTCCCTGTCTTTCTTTTCTTGTCTCCTCTCCTTCCCCTTTCTTCAATTTCCTTCCAAACGTTACACGTTAAATTTCACTGTAATGCATTGATGTATTCCCATACAAGTAACAAAGTTAATAGTGGAACTAGAAATGATTTTCCACATCAGCTTACATATTTTTTTTAGAGATACTAAAATAAAATACATGGCAGTGTGTCTCAGCTTGTAGCACTACTGAAGCGGACTCAGTTCTCAGGAATGGCTCCCTAGATTAACTTAATTTCTTAGCATCAGTTGCTTCATGTTGTTGTACATATTGATACAATAAGTTTCTCTCTTGAGGAGCTTCTGTAGCAATCATAATAGCCTGTGCAGGGCCATATATAGTAACCATTAACAAATAGTGACTTCATGGATTGAAAGTAAAAAGAAATAGGGAGGAAACTTAAAACCTTTTCTCTTCTTGAGCCTGCTATCCAGATGTTCTGCAGGAAAAAATTCTCTTGTTTGTACTTTGCCATGGGGTCCATCGGATATCCTGGAACTCTAGTTCAAAGTATATTATTACCTTTCCATTTTTATTGCTGGTTTTTGAAGTTTAGAGATACTTAGCTTTGAGTCCTTGAGATCACATTAGATCTTGTCAGGCCCATATTGTGCTTTTTAGGGTATCTAAAAAGCAATGAAATTCTGACAAGGAAATTTCAAATCTTCTTTCTATAAAGCAATATGACAAATACACATACATATATGTATTTTATACATAAATTTTTACACTAAAGTTGAATCAATTTATTTTCAATAATAATTTTTTGATAAACTTACCAAGAGCAAGTCAGTGTTGTTGAAAGATTGACATGTCAAAGAGAAAGTATATAGTAAAGGGAGAAGGTCCTAGAATATTACTGATTTAAGAACATATGTGCGTGTCAGGAAGCTTCTTTTTATTAAGAAGAACTTATTCCATCTTAAATAGGCATCATATTTTATGTAAAAATATGGATCTTTCTTATTCTGTAACTGGAAATTGATATTTCACATATTTGAGTTTGATATGTATGTATTTTTGCTTTCAGTGATACCATGCATCCTGTCCCTACTGTCTCTGACTCTATTCATTCAGGATTGGCAGGTAGAGCATCATATTATAAACTAGGTGCTTATATTCTAAATAATAGTACTTCCTGAAATTGTCTGCCTTTTAAAAATAAAATAAACTGTAATTGTACTTATTTTTTAGCAAATGTATTTTATGTTTTAATTATGAAATATTTGCTGAAATTTAGGAAAATTCTTAATACTTGGAATCAAATTGACTTGGAAGGTAGAGAAGAACAAATTTTAATAATTGCAGCAAAGGAAATTTTATCCATTTGTAGCAATAAGTTATGCCTATGACAGCATACTTGCTGCCCCATATCAGGTTAAGGGTGCCATTCATGAATAAGTCATGCCCTATTCATGTTTCTTTTTCATGAAGTGCAGCAAAGTTTTAGAGAAAAATCAAGTAGTGTGCATCTTTTAAGAACCTACAATATGAAAAGGGCAAGCTCCAATATTAGGTGTTGTCTATATCTGTATAGTAAAATTTTTAAGCTCTTTCCCATGCTGGGAAAGCAGCATTCAATTTGGTTTAATATAAAAACTTTATTCAGCTTTATTTTTTTAATATAACACCTTTATTTATTTTAAAATAAAAATTAATTTTTAATTTTAATTCTAAATAGATTTTATTTAGAGAAGATTTGTTTCACAGAAAAATTGAGAGGAGGTTGTAGAGATTTTCCACGTATCCCTTGCTTCCACACATGCATAGCTTCCCCCTTTATCAACATCCCCCACCAGAGTGGTGCATTTGTTACCTTTGCTGAACCTGTGTTGACACATTATCATTACCTAAAGACTATAGTTTATATTAGCGTTCACTCTCAACTTGAAGAAAATTAATATATATAGCATTTTTCTAGATTTCAATGTGTGTATTACAGAGAGATGTTCACCTGTGTATTTGAACCTGGATATTTTTTAATTTTCCTGGAATTTTCTTCTTTGACCTGTGGGTTATTTAGAAGTGTGTTGCTTAATTTGAAAATATTTAGGGATTATTTCTGATAAATTTCTGTTCCTTATTTTTGGTTTAATTATATCATGGTTGTATTAGTTTCCTATGGCTGCTATGTAATAAATTAAAACAAACGTAACGGCTGAAAACACCATAAGTTTATTATCTTACAGTTCAGTAGTTGAGATTTATAAAATGGCTCTCACAGGTGAAAATGGATGAATGGATGAAGATGTGAGATATATATAATATATATATATTATGGATGCATATATATGGATGAATATTTTATATTATCCATAAATGGATGAAGGTATGAGATATATATATAATATATATATATTATGGATGCATATATATGGATGAATATTTTATATTATATTATCCATAAATGGATGAAGGTGTGAGATATATATATATTTATATATATATATATCTCATGGATGAATATTATTCATCCATAAAAGGAGTGAAATCTTGGCCTTTGCAATGACCTTCATGGAGCTAGAGGGTATAATGCTAAGTGAAATAAGTCAGTCAGAGAAAGACAAATACCATATGATTTCACTCATATGTAGAATTTAGGAAGCAAAACAAATGAGCAAAGGAGGAAAAAAAAGACAAATCAAGAAACAGACTCTTAACAATAGAGAATAAACTGATGGCTACCAGAGGGGAAGTGGGTGGGTGGGTGGATGGGTTAAGTAGATGATGGGGATTAAGGAGTGCCCTTGTGATGAGCCCTGAGTGATGTACGGAAGTGTTGAATCACTATATTGTATAGCTGAAAGTAATATTACACTTTATGTTAACTACACTGGGTTTGAAATAAAAAATTAATAAAGAAATAAAAAAAAACCCAAACTACTTATATTGTGATGAAAGATGTTACTTGAAAGAAGGTTTATACACAGTGTAGTTTCAAGCATTAAGCACATGACTTTTTCTTTTTCTTTCTCTTTTTTTTTTTACAGCTTGCTATTTATTGAGCAAATACTATTAAAATAGCTAAAATAAATCGGGTACTTGTGAGTGCATCAGTAAAGATCACACTCTTACAAAAGCCTGCATTTTTAGCAGTGTTCAACTGCAGCTCTACATAAATGCCAAAGATTCGAATAGTTTTCTTCCTTTACTTATACAGTTGATATACCTATTCTAACAAAGGAGGGAGGAGGAGAAAAATGCACAAGAAACAGTCAGAAGAGGAACAGGGCAGAACAAAGCCTGCTCTGTCAAAGGAAGAGCTAAAAGACAGTTATACAAAAATTGATGTGAGCTTTCAGACTGGCTAATACAACAACAATCCATGAGTAGATGGTATTCTCTGGTTTTATTTTTGTTTATCCATTTCATTGGGAGCAAGGACAAAAATGTAAAATCTACACCTTGATGATCAAAACTGCTGAAAAAGAGGGCTCTGCTTTTTTAAAAAAAAATTACAAAGACATTTTTTCCAACTTAATTTTTGGGAAAGGTGTAATTTTTGTATCCCTACTCAGATGCTTTGGATAAAATACAGATATACAGACAATTGATGAACATAAATTACTAGGCTGGTCACATCTAAATGAAAAAAAGAATGGGGACTCTCGGTTTTCAGCTTCTGCAATTGGGAGCTGTGTGAGTGAAAATGCAGGAGTGGGCCAGTTATGTGAGAGCAGAGGGGTTTGAGTTGTGGAAGACATCATTGTCAAGAACCAGGCCTGAAGGCCCACCTGTAAGGGTTATAAATGTGAATTCATAGTGTAAAATTCTGAGCGTTTTCACCTGGGTCAGAAAGAGTAAAAACTGGTTTGATGATACCTATTTGCCCACTGTAAATTCTCAAAAGCAAAGCTCAGAGTCCCATGGTTTCTTCTTATACTTGATTTACACAGAAAAAAATCCCATAGATGATACCATGACCTCATCAATACCCATACACCATATGTAATACAAATGGAGGTGTTACAGTTGAAAAGAGTAGAGGTGACCGATGCCTGGGGAGTGGAGTTCATTGCTACCAACTGGAGTCAGGCAGGCAGCCTCAGTCTCATCACCCTGCTTGAGGTTCACTTCCTTGGGGTCAGGAAGTCTTCCCTTAGGAAGCTTTCCCTCCATTTCCTTATTTGGAAATGGTTCTTGACTGACCAGAGAGTTCTGGGTATCCTCCCTCTCTTAAGTCCAGGGAGACCAACAGACAAAAGCTCTGCTCCCTCTTCACTCTCTTCTCTTTATACCTGAAACACAAATGTGGATGAAAAAGGCATCATACTAGAAAGGCAGCTAGCTGGTGGGGAGGGAGGAACATGACTTTTTCCCTATATTTCTACATGTAAGTTTAAAAACATATCTTAATGAAAAAAGATGTTACTTGAGGGATGGTTTATACAGAGTGTAGTTTCAAGCAGTTAAGCTCATGGCTTGTCCAGTATGCTTCTACACATAAATTTACCAATACTTATATCTTAATGAAAGGAAATATTACTGGAAAGATGCATTATACACAGTGTTGTTTCAAAAAAAAATCAAGATGACAGTAAAGCTACATTTTTTTCTGGTGTCTCTAGGGGAGAATCCATTTCCTTGCTCTTTCCAGCTCTTAGAGGCTCTGCATAATCCTTGGCTCATGGGTCTCTTCCTCCATCTTCAGAATAGCAATGTTGTGTTGAGTCCTCATGTTGCTATCCTTCTGGTTCTCCCTCTTCTAAGTCCTCCAACTTTTAAGGACCTTATAGATAACATTTGGGTTCACCTGAAAAATCCAGGTACTGTCTGTATTTTAAGGTCACTAAGTTAGCAGTCTTAATTTCATTGGTGACCCCAATTCCTATCTTCCATGTAACCTAATGTATTTACAGGCTTCGGGAGTTAGTACACATCTTTACGAGTCCATTGTTCTGCCTGTCACACTGAGAAAACATACTTTCAATCCTTAAAAATTTTTGAGATTTGTTTTATGGCCAGAAATATGGTGGATCTTGTTGAGTGCTCCATGTGTACTTGAAAAGAATGTGTTTTCTGTTTTATTGAGATGGAGGATCAATTAGATCAAGTAGAATATATCCTTACTGACTTGTCTATTTGTTAATTACCAAGAGAGGAGTGTTGAAATTTCCAACTGAAATTGAGAATTCTCTATTTCCACTTTAGTTATACCAGTTTTTGCTTCATATACTTTGAAGCTCTATTTTTAGGTACATAGGTATTTAGGATTATCATGTTCTCTTGGTGAATTAACCATTTTGCCATTATGAAATATTCTTCTTTATATCCAGTAGTATATCTTGTTCTGAAAACTACTTTATCTGGTAATAAGCTCTAGCTTTCTTATGGATTGGTTTCCATCATGTTATTTTATCTGTGTCATTATATTTAAAGTGGATTTCTTGTATGGAGTATATAGTTGGTTTGTCTTTTTAAAACATATAATTTGAGGGGTGCCTGGGTGGCTCAGTTGGTTAAGCGTCCGACTCTTGGTTTTTGCTCAGGTTATGATCTCATGGGTTGTGGGATCGAGCCCCCCATTTGGCTCTGCACTCAGTGGGGAGTCTCCTTGAAGTTTCTCTCCCTCTACCCCTCCCCACACGTTCTCTCTCTCTCTCTCAAATAAATAAATAAATAAATAAATAAATAAATCTTTAAAAAATATATATATATAATTTGACAACTCTGCCTTTAAATTTAGGCTTTTAGGCCATTTGTATTTAATAGAATTTTCTATATGGTCCCATTGAAATGTATTGTTAAATTTCTTCTTTTTTTTAAAGATTTATTTATTTGACAGAGAGAGAGAACACAAGCGGGGGGGGGTAATGGGAGGGGGAGAGGCAGGCTTCCCGTGGAGCAGGGAGCCCGATGCGGGACTCGATCCCAGGACCCTGGGATCATGACCTGAGCCAAAGGCAGACGCCCAATGACTGAGCCACCCAGGCACCCCTGTATTGTTAAATTTCAAGGTAGACTTACGTTTTTAAAGAGCAGTTTTAGATTCCTAACAAAATGGAGCAGAAACTACAGAATCTACATACCTTTGGCATCTCTACCCCAGCCTCCCCCACTATCAACATCCCACACCAGAATGGTGTGTTTATTACAATTGATGAATTTATCCTGACACACAATTATTGCCCAAAGTCCATTGTTTATACTGGAGTCACTCCCAGTACTATACAGTTTAGGTTTGGACAAATGTACAATGACACATATCCACTATTATAGTATACTATAGAATAGTTTTACTGTCCTAAAATTTCTCTTTTCTCTGCACACTCATCTTTTCCTCTCTCCCACTCCCTGGTAACCACTGATTCTCTCATCATCTCTCTCTACAGTTATGCTTTTTTCAGAATGTCAAATAGTTGTAATCATACAGTATGTAGCCTTTTCACTTAGTAAAATGTATTTAAGGTTCCCCCATGTCATTTCATGACTTGTTGGCTCATTTCTTTTTAGTGCTGAATAAGATTCCTTTGTCTGGATGTACCACAGTTTACTTATCTGTTCACCTACTGAAGGACATCTTGGTTGCTTCCAAGTTTTGGCAATTATGAATAAAGCTACTATAAACATCAATGTGCAGGTTTTTGTATGGACATAAGTTTTCAGCTCCTTTGGCTAAATACCAATATGCAAGATGATTGGATCATATGGTAAGAGTATGTTTAGCTTTGTAAGTAGCTGCCAAACTCTTCCAGAGGGACTGTGCAATTTTGCATTTTCACCATCAGTGAATGAGAATTCTTGTTGCTCCACAGCCTTGCTAGCATTTGGTGTTGTCAGTGTTCTGGATTTTGGCCATTGTAATGGATGTGCAGTGATATCTCACTGTTGTTTTAATTTGTATTTCTCTCATGACATATAACGTGGAGCATCTTTTCGTATGTTTGTTATCTGTATATCTTCCTTGGTGAGGTGTCTGTTCAGGTCTTGAATCTATTTTTTGTTTGCTGTTGAGTTTTAAAAGTTTGTATATTTTGGATAATAGTCCTTTATCAGATAGGTCTTTGCAAATATTTTCTCCCAGTTTGTAACTTGTCTTCTTGTTCTCTTGACAGTGACTTTTGCAGAGCAGAAGTTTTAAAATTTAATGAAGTCTAAATTATTATTACTTCCAGGGGTTGTGCCTTTAATGTTTTATTTAATGTCATTGCCATATATTTAAAAAGTCATTAGATTTTCTTCTGTTTTCCTCAGTAGTTTTATAGTTTTGTGTTTTGCATTTAGGTCCATGATCCATGATGAGTTATTTTTTGTGGAAGGTGTAAGGGCTATTTCTTATTTATTCTTTGTTCCATGTTTTCTTTTTTCTACATTCTTTTGAGTTAACTCAAAAGTTAACTAATTTCATCTGTGTTATTGGATTGTAAGCTCTATATCTCTGTTTTATCTTAGTGGTTGCTCTATGGTTTAAAATATTAGTCTTTAATGTATAATGGAGTACCTTCAAATAATATTATACCTCTTATGTATAGTGAAAGGTCTTTATAATAGGACATTTTCATTGGTTCTCCTATCCTTTGTGCAATTTTTGTCATATATTTTATTTCGACATTTTATGAACTCTATATGATATGTTACTTTTTTATCTAAAGAGCAAATTATTCTTTAAAGAGATTGAAAAAGCAAGAAAAATAGCTTGTATATCTGTCCATATAGTCACAGATCTGGTGCTTTTTATTCCTTTGTGTTTCCATATTTTCATCTAGCATCACTTTCCTTCTTTCTGAAGAACTTCCTTCAAGAATTCTAGTAGTCCAGATCTAATGGCAATTGAGTCTCTCAACTTTTGTTTGTTTGCAAGTCTTCATTAATTTACCTTCATTTTGGAAGATAGTGTCACTGGGTATAGAATTCTAGTTTTCTTTCAGTATTTTAAACATGTTACTCTCTTTACTTATAGCTTGGAGAGTTTCTAATGAGAAATATGCTTAATATTCTTGTTTTTGTTACTCTTTAGGTCATGTTCTTCCCCCACCCCTAAATGCTTTTAAGATCATCTGTTTATCACAGGTTTTTAGCAATTAAATTATGATGTGCCTGGTTATATATTTCTTTCTGTTTATTACTTTGGGCTACATTGACACTCTTTGGCCTGCTTTTATAATTTTTATCAAATTTGGAAAATGTGTGGTTACTCTTTCTTTAAATCTTTTTTTCCCCTTCTTTATGAGACTGAGATTGCAAATTATTAGACCACTTGCTATTGTCCCACAAGTCACTGATCTCTGTTTCTTTGCTATTTTTTCCTTTCTTTGCTTCATATGTAATAGTTTCTCATGCTGTGTCTTCAGGTTCACAGATCTTTTTTTCACTGTATCATCTGTTAATCTCATCTAGCATATCTTTAATCTCATCTAGGACATTGTAGTTTTCATCTCTAGGAGTTTCATTTGTTTTTGTTTGTTTTAATTTTGATAGTATCTGTTACGTCTCTGCTCATTATGCTCATGTTTTTTCTCTATATTATTTTTTTTAAATTGTAGTTGACATACAATATTATATTAATTTCAGGTGTACAGCATAGTGATGCAACATTTATATGCATTATGAAGTGATCACTACCATAAATCTAGCTTCTGTCACCATACGAAGTTGTTACATATTATTAACCAATATATTCTCAATACCATACATTGTATCTCTGTCTTATTTATAACTGGAAATTTATACCTTTTTATCTTCTTTTCCTATTTCACCCATATTCCCTCTGCCCTCTCTCTGGCAACCACCAGATTGTTCTCTGTAGCTATGCATCTATTTCTGCTTTGTTTCATTTATTCCTTTGTTTTGTTTTTAGGTTCCACATAAAAGTGAAATCATATGGTATTGGTCTTTTTCTGTGTGACTTATTTCACTTAGCATAACATACTCTAGGTCCATCTGTATCATTGCAAATGGCAAGATTTTATTCTTTCCTAATGGCTGAATAATATTTCCTTGTGTGTATGTGTGTATATATATGTGTGTGTGTGTATATATGTATATATATGTGATATATATATATATTATATATATGTCTCACATCTTTTTATCCATTTATCTATCAGTAGACACTTAAGTTGCTTCCATATTTTGGCTATTGTAAATAATGCTGCAATAAGCATAGAGGCGCTTACATCTTTTTGAACTAATGTTTTTATTTTCTTTGGATAAAAACTCAGACGTGGAATTGCTGGATCACATGGTAGGTCTACTTTTAATTTTTTAAGGAAACTCCATACTGTTTTCCCTAGTGGTTGAACCAATTTATATTCCCACCACAAGTGTTCCTTTTTCTTCAAATATTGTTATTTCTTATCTTGTTATTTCTCATCTTTTTGATACTACCCATTCTCCCATTCTGGCAGATTTGAGAGGACATCTCATTGTGGTTTTGATTTGCATTTCCCTGTTGATTAGTCATGTTGAGCATCTTTTTATATGTCTGTTGGCCATCTATATGTTTCTTTGGAGAAATGTCTCTTCAGGTCCCCTGCATATTTTTAAATTGGATTGTGTGGGTTTTTTTTTTTTTTATATTGAGTTGTGTGAGTTCTTTATGTATTTTGGATATTAACTCCCTATCAGTTATATTATTTGCAAATATCTTCTCCTACTTAGTAGGTTTTTTCATTTTGTTGATGGTGTCCTTCACTGTGCAAAACTTCTTGGTTTGATGTAGTCTCATTTGTTTATTTCTCTATATTCTTGAGCAGTTGAGAATATTTATAATAGCTATTTCAAGATCTTTGTTAAGTTTATTAACTTTGTCATTTCTGGATCTGTTTGTATTGATTTTTCTCCTGGTTATGAGTCATATTTTCCAGCAGCTGTATATAACTAATAATTTTGACTTGGTGACAGATAATCCCTCCCTAACTTCTTGTGAATTTTTTGTTGTAGGGCATAGAATTTTGTTATATTCCTTTAGGTATTAGATTTAAAAAATGTCATGCTGTTAAGTTTTGGGGGGTTTGTTTGATTCTTTTGAAGCTTGCTTTTATACTTTGTTAGTGAGGTCCAGGGCATCTTTTAGTCCAGGCCTAAATTAGTTTCATTTCTGGGAGATACCCTTCTGAGGATTTTAATTTATCTTACTAGAATTATGTTGTCTTTCTACTTTGACTGATGGGAACACAAACATTTCCCAGCCCTGTACAATCTCAGAGAATTACCTACTCTTCTGCGGGTAGAGAGGGGTAGGGTTGGGCCCTGTTACTCTATCATGGTCAGGAATGAGGTCCTATAGGATATTTTTGAATTATGAACTCATTTTCTTCAATGGGTATGTATAATGCTATTCCATTTTTTTATTTGTTGTGTCAGCTTATGTAATTTTTTTCAAAGATTTTGTTCATTCCACCTAAGTCATGAAATTTATTTGTATAAGATTGTTCATGATATCTCATTATTATTCTTTAATGTCACTAGAATCTGTAATATCTCATCTTTAATTCCCAGTATTGGTGAATGTGGGACCCAGAGTGCTTAGAGCATTTCTCTCAGTTCTCCTCCTCTGCCATGCCCCCAGACTTCTGCAGGCCGTGTATACCTGTGCCTCAGAGTGAGGTGGGTCTCTCTCATATCTTCTGCTTTTTTCCTAATATCCCTCATCAACAAATTTTTCCAGTTTTATTAAGAAATAATTGACAATTGGAGTAAATAAGTGGTATGATATATGGCTGTATGAGCTTTTGCAAACTAATGGTTGAATTTTCAGGAATTTTGCAAGCAGTTTTTAAACACAGCTTTTCTTCCTTCCTTCCTTCCTTCGTTCCTTCGTTCCTTCGTTCCTTCCTTTTTCTTTCTTTCTTTCTTTCTTTCTTTCTTTCTTTCTTTCTTTCTTTTCTTTTCTTTTCTTTTCTTTTCTTTTCTTTTTTCTTTTCTTTTCTTTCGTATAACTCAGTATTTTATTACAAAGTAAACCACTCATTTAACCACTTCCAGAACAAGAAATAGAATATTGCCAACACCCTTTAACACTTATTCATGCTTCATCCCACCGTGTCTGCCCTCCTTACAAATATAACCACTGCCCTAATTTGATGGTAATCAATTTCTGCTTTTCTTTCTTGTTCCACTTAAGCATATATTTCTAAATACTATAACTTAAAGTTGCATGTTTTTTAACTTTATATAAATGTAATCATGCACTAAGTATAATTTTTACCTGACTTATTTTATTCAACATTACATTTATGACATTCATCTATGTCGTTAAATGTTGTAATACTGTAATACTGTTGTAATACTGTAGCGTAATCCACAGTTACATGATATAGAACATTTTTGTGTCTCCAAAAATTTATTTCAGGTGGCTTCTTGTGGTAATCCCCAACCTGCTAAGAGGTAACCACTCTTTTAATATATTCCACCTTAGAGTAGTTTTCCTGTTCTAGAACATCATATAAGTAAGATTATATATAGTATATATCTGTTTGTGCTGAGCATTATGGTTATGAGATTCATTGTATTATTATGTGTATCAGTAGTTCATTCCTTTTTAATGTGTAAGTAGTATTTGTATGAATATACCATAATTTGTCCACTCTTCTTTGAATAATATTTGATTTTTTTCAATTTGTTTGCTATTGTGACTATAGTTGCTATAAATATTCTTTTTTAAATTTTATTTTATTATGTTATGTTAATCACCATACATTACACAGCCTTTATTAAGAATTAAGCTACAAAAAAATAATTGACATATATCACTGTATAATTTCAAAGTATAAAGTATGATGGTTTGATTTACATGTATTGTAAAATAATTACCCCAATATTTATCCATCATCTCATACAGATAAAAAGAAAAGGAAGAAGAAAAGGAAAAAGAAAACAGTTTTTTTCCTTGTGATGAGAACTCTTAGTATTTACTCTCTTAGCAACTTTCCACTATATCATATAGCGGTTGTTAGCTATAGTTATCATGTTGTACATTACATCCCTAGTATGTACTCATCTTATACCTGGAAGTGTGTATCTTCTGATCACTTTTCTCTAATCCCCACTGTCCTGACTTCTTCCACAAATCTGATCTCTTTTTCTATGATTTTTTTTAAAGATTCCATTTATAAGTGAGGTCATACAGTGCTTGTCTGTCTTTCTTTCTTTCTTTCTTTCTTTCTTTCTTTTTTTAAAAAAAGACTTTATTTATTCATCTGAGAGAGAGAGAACACAAGCAGGGGGAGAGGCAGAGGGAGGAGCAGGCTTTCTGCTGAGTTGGGAGGCCAACATGGGGCTCGATCCCAGGACCTGGAGATGATGACCTGAGCCAAAGGCAGATGCCTAACCATCTGAGCCACCCAGGCGCTTGTCTTTCTCTGATTTATTTCACTTAGCATAATGCCTTTCAGAATCCATGTTGTTGCAAACAGTAGGATTTCTTCATTTTTTATAGCTACTATTACCTTGTATATATACAAACCACATTTTCTTTATCCGTCGATCTATTGGTGGACACTTAGATTTTTTTCATATCTTGGCTGTTGTAAATAATGCTGCAGTAAACATGGGC